CAAAGAAACAAGCAACCTGAAGCATAGAACAAACATTAACTCCTTTCTAGATAAATGAGATAGAAATTTAAGAGGAATAGAATGGTAGTCCAAATTTTGAAATGACATATTGGAGCCAGAAATATAACTAGAAGACTCATTTGCAGTCCTCTGGTTCTGACCACTGTTTCAAACATCAGCATCCAGATGGCTTTAAATTTAGTTATCTGATCCATTTTGAGTTAATTTTTGTATATTGCATACCATAGATGGTCCAAATTCACTCCTTTGTATATAGATATCCAATTGTACCACCAGCATTTATTGAAAGGTGATTCTTTCCCCAGTTTTGGCACCCCGTTGAAAATCAATTGACTATAAAGGTGAAGTGTTTCTGAATTGTCAGTTTTATTCCATTAATCTATGTGAGTATCTTTATGCTACCACCATATTGACTTGATTACTGTTGCTTTGTAGTAAGTTTTGAAAGTGGGAAGTGGGTCCACCTACCTTGTTCTTTTTCAAGATTGTTTTGGCTGTTTTAGGTCCCTTGAGGTTCCATATGAATTTTAGGATCAGCTTATCAGTTTCTACAAAACTAGATGAGATTCTGATATAGAGTGTGTTGAGCCTGTGTATTGATTTTAGAAATATTGCCATCTTAATATTAAGTCTCCTGACCCATGAACATGAGGCATTTTTCCACTCGCTTAAATCTTTAATGCCTTTCAACAGGCTTTTGTAATTTTTAGAGGACGAGTTTTGCACTTTTTTTTTGTTTCATGTTTTTATAATTTATTTTCATTAAATTTGTTGGGATGACATTGGTTAGTAAAATTATATAGGTTTTAAGTGCACAGTTCTGTAATACATCATTTATATATCACATTGTGTGCTCACCGCCCAGAGTCAGTTCTCTTTCTGTCACCATATATTTGACCCTCTTTACCCTATATATTTGTCCCAACAACATCAAAAGTAACTAATTACTTTTTCATTACTTTTGATGTTGTTTTCTTACTTTCATTTTTGGATTGTTCGTTGCATGCGTACAGAAATAGAACTGATTTTTTCGTATATTGATCATGAATCCTGCAACCCTGCCAGACTCATTTATTCTACTATTTTTTGGTAGGTTCCCTAGGATTTTCTGTATAAATGATCACCTCACCTGTAAACAGAGTTGTTTTACTTCTTCTTTTCCATTCGGAATGTCTTTCATTTTCATTGTGGTGCTTAATTGCCCTGGCTAGAACCTCCAGGACAATGGGGAATAGAAGTGGTGAGAGTGGACATAGCAAAGCTAACGGTGCTGGTGAAGATGGTGGTAGACAATAATGATCACAAAACATGAGAAATCACTTGACAATGGCTCTAGCTCTATTTTCACTAAGTAATATACTTGAAAGTTCGTAAAATCTTATTTGAAAGCTTAAAACACATTTGAGTAGTCTACATGCACTCCTTCCTGCACAGTGAGGGGAAGCAGAACTCGAGGTGCCTATCCCAGCATTAAGAATCTGTCCCAGACTCAGGCTGATTGAAATTACACTGCTCCTCATCAATTTAGTTGTCAGCTAAGAGGCAGTGGGGAGCAGGGGAGGGGGACAGGGTGGCCATGCTTAGCATTCCAGTTCCATTATGTACTGGGTGAATGATCTTGGGCATATGACTCAATCAATTGTATGATAATCTCTATTTCATGTGTTGTCTTAAGGATTTGTTGAGATAATGAATGTAAAGTTCAGTGCCAAGCACATGGTAGCATTGGAGGTTGTCATCTGGAGGTTCGAGGTCACAGCAGTAAAACTTGGAGAATGTGGGCATCGATCCCACGACCTCTCACCTGCTAAGCGGGTGCTCTATCCTTTGAGCTAATTCCCCCCCACATAGGAGCATTTAGTAAATGTTATTTCTGCTACCATCAATGTTTTAAATATTAGCGGTGTAGTGAGCAATGTTCTTATCAAGGATCAGCTTGGATCTCATGCCTTAGGTTTGTTTGCACTTTTTTTCTACTTCTACTTTGCAACTATCGATAGTTGGAGAACACAGTGGCATTTCCTCTCTCTCTCTCACTGCGTGACTTGGATGTCTCAACCTGTCACATGCAGCATCCAGGAAGGTAAGAAATGGAGAAGTACGGCCGTGAGGGTGACTTGGAGTAAGATACTTGTGCATATCAGAAATCTCCCCTTCTCCACATCCTGCTGCTATGTAAACCTCCAAGCCTGTCAGCTTCCGCATCTGTAAAATGAGCAGCTCTCACAGGTGGTTGTGAGGATGGAGTGAGGAAATGGGCTGGTGCCCGGCAGGTAGCAAGCACTTAATAAGTATTCACTAAGAGTAATTTTTTATATGTGGTCCTATAGAACTCCAGAGTAAAGCAACATTTTATGTTCCGACTTCACAGATGAATCTATTTTCTGAACTTTCACCCATGAGCACCATGGGTTTTAGAAAGATTACCAAGTTTGTTTATGTGCTTATCATAAAAACACTACTTTCACATTATAAAAATTATTCTCATATTTTGTAATAACGTGACTTTC